AGTATGACTATTTTCGAAATTCGGCGTGTACACCAATATAATTTTTTTATCTATAAATTAACACTATTATTAGTTGTGTAATGCGTTATGTAATTTGTTGTATGATGTAATACAAATATATGAATTAAAGAAACAAATATCATGCTAAAGCATAAACTTAATGAAATTATACATTGTTGGTTGAACTTAGGTATTTAGTACGGATTCGTAATTAGTATTTATAATAGATTGTAAAACTGCCGGTACTCTTTCTGATACATATATATTGTGACCGTGTTAGCCGAGTTGAATGAATGTATATTAGTTACCTTAAATCATTATTTTTTTTGTTTACCTGTTTCCCCGATGTTACTAAAATTGTCTGCTTCCCTATTTTCTTCTTCTGTAGTCAAGTCTATCCATACTGTAATTAAATAACAAATAGAATCATCCTATACTATTATATTTCTTTTTTAATTACCTTCATCATCAACATGGACTTGACGATGATCAGTGTGTTGAGGCGCGGTCGCTGTAATGATATTTCACTTTTCTTATTATTATTGTTCTATCATATATCTAAAATTAATACTGATCTATTTTTTTTTCCTTACCTTCGTTGGGGGATTGCTGAATTGATCCGGGTTGATGCGGTCCAACTGTAAATAACGTGTCAGGGTGATATTAATCTATTTAATCATATTTCCATATTCGTTTATACCTAAGTAATGGTTGAACTGTCTTTGATGTCGTAGCATATTCCTTCGGTTAGCAAACGTGTACTTACATACAACACAAGACTGATTCATTTTCACTGTGTGTGTGTGTGTGTGTGTGTGTTAGGTTTGAAAACGTGCGTATTAAGATGAACTTTCCGGTTATTGAAAGACAATATATATAGCGCCGGTATTTATAGCGCATTCGCCGGACAGGTGTTGCAGCAATTGCACATTATCAGCAACACCGCCACCAACTACGCCGTGGACGGTGTCCCCATCACCCGAGACACCACCGCCTCCGCCGCCGCCACCGTCGTCACCTGGTTCACAACGAACATCTAAGCGCATATATATATGCGCTTGCGCGTACAAGTTGCAGAAATGGATAACGAGTCTTCGACGCCACGGAGCCATTAAAATAAATCCAGCCGAAGACTCGTTATCCATTTCTGCAACATGTACGCGCAAGCGCATATATATATATATTATTTGTATATATTATTTATTCCAATAAAATTAAATATAATAATAATACTATTATTTATATAATAATCATAGTAGTAATACACACATAACATAATAATCCTAATATGATATAAATTACTTGATGTGTGTGTGTCGTCGTCGACCGGTCCGTCTTTATCTGTAGAGTACAATAGTCAACGGCAATTAGTTATTTAATTTTTTTTTCTGCTAACTGACTATTGCACTTACCCATAATATTATATAACTACGGTATCGTGGACGTATGGTAGATAAACTAATAATGCTAATATTTTTTTTACTTTGTGCACTGACCATGCGGCCGTCTAGGCAATAAAACTGATATACACTAATTCATCAATTGGTATGGATATATGTGTGTGTGTGTTCGTTAATAATATTTATTTTATTAGTACAATATCATTCAAATCGTAATAATAATAATAATAATAATAATAAGATCATATTTCGTTTACTTGATATATATATATATTTATTTAGGTATTAATAGCAAAACATACATTTTTTTTTTTTATTGACATTAATCACATTTACTCCTACTGCTACTTATATATTTGCGCGTGTGTTGTACTGCAGGTCAGTCGTCGAACGGTCCGTCATTATCTGTAGAGTACAATAGACACCAGCAATTAGTTATTTAATTATTTTTTCTGCTAACTGACTATTGCACTTACCCATAATATTATATAACTACGGTATCGTGGACGTATGGTAGATAAACTAATAATGCTAAAATACGACATCGTGGACGTTGGACCCGTTCTTCTTTCCCTTGTAGATCATTGTTAGATTAGAATCTATCGGCTTCTGTAGTTTTTCGTCGGTCATTCTGAATCTGGTTGGCAAGTATACGCGTATGGGTTGTGGATTATCGCCCAAGCGTAATTCTACGGCGGGCGTACGCGCATCGTGCTTTGTAACGACCGTTTCGAACCGTATCACTCTGTATGGGACGAAGGGTTGAATCTCCGTAATGTGACGTCTCCTCGATTCCAACACGAACTCGCTGCGGTCGTTTAGGAAATCTTTGGTGATTTGACTCATCTGTAAATGACAATATTGTTTGACTTAATACATCTAAGCTCTGGCTCGGACTTACCTTGACCGTACGTGTGTGTATGTGCACAAATGATTGTTCACCGACTGTCTTGCAGTGATAACTGGTAACTGTTAAATGTTGGGTGGTGCACCCTTCCTTATATGCTGATGTTCGCCCGTCCCCACCATGTGTGTGTGTGTGTGTGTGTGGTACCAGTAGTGATAACAGGATTGTGATAACAGAATCGTGATATGGCCGTATCGAATCCTGTTATCACGACCCTGTTATCACGCCCTGCTATCACGCCTTGCTATCACGCCCTGTTATCACGCCCTGTTATCACGCCCTGCTATCACGCCCTGCTATCACGCCCTGTTATCACGCCCTGCTATCACGACCCTGTTATCGCGCCCTGCTATCACGACCCTGTTATCGCGCCCTGCTATCACGCCCTGTTATCACGCCCTGTTATCATGCCTTGCTATCACGCCCTGTTATCACAATCCTGTTATCACGCCCTGTTATCACGATCCTGTGATAACAGGGCTACATACGGCCAAAATATACTACTGTTAAAATGTATTTTTCCTCTAGTTTTCGGTTATTTCGATATTTTATTTAAACACAATTAGTAGCCAGAGCAGTATGTTGAGAGTAGATTATACATTTTATGCAATTATTCACATTGTTTTCAACACTATGTTATATTGTGGTACGGTTTCTGACTGATCAGCTAAATCCATTTATATAATAAAGCCAGTACAGTAGGATCGAGGTATAGTGAAAACGGGGAAGTTACAGGTCACCGGAAATAGTTATAACTGATCAAAATAAAATTACTTTCAAATAAACAATTTGATTCGAATCTGTGGCCAGTAGGTTCAAACCAAGCATAGCATAAACCAGCACACTAAGAAAGTTGTATAAGTAAATAGAAGTAGTAAGTTAATATCGTTAGATTCGGGCAAGGGAAGGGCACAAGACATATTCATGTTCCAATATGTTTCCTTCAAGGGAAAGATGGTACTTGTTTTTTTACTTTTCTTTTAGGATTTACTTCAAATTCTTAGGGTATTAGAATTAATACACAGACCGTATTTAAAGTAACCGAAGAAAATCCACCTTGACATCATTTAGAGGCCTCTACACGTGTGTATTTTCTATCGAAAACAGCTCTAAATTAAGCCTAGGTACTCTGATCCGAATCACCCGAAACTAAGTGTTAAGCTCTAAGTCATTATACTAAGTGGAACGAATTTTATGAGAAATGCGCCCCTGGACAGAATGATGGGCAATTTCAATAATCATCATAGTACGTAGACCATATGTGTTGATCATGTTTTTATTACACTCCTGTTAAGCTTAGAGCCACAAATTATGCATAAAAGCCGTTTGGCGTCAATTATGTAAAAATCTAATGTATTTCAGAGCACTGGACTGAATAGGGATCAAATACAAATATGTATTCATATGTATGAAAACCGCAATCCTTATACCTATATTAAGGAAATCCCAATCGTTATGGAACACGTTTTGGGTATTAAAAATCCAGGAAGTATTTTTAAACGCGACCCAAGTAACATATTATTATTTAAATAGCTATTTTATTCATTACATCTATTGACAATTAACGTTGCGTTATTGCTTAAATAGGTTTATGCTTGGCTAATTATATACTATTACACCAATTGCATACTATTTTATTTATATAGATGGGTTCCATTATTTAACTTTTAAGAATGCATTTTTGGCGTTAGCGTATGAAGATAAGATAGCAGCGAGATATAAGGATGAGAGCCTATCTGATAGCTTCGGGGTATTTGATTCAAAATAACTAGATTTATATTACTAATTTAACCTAAAACAAATATCAAAATATTATAAAAACATTATTGAAAAATATTCGTGTATGTTTAATATTGTACATAGGTTCCAATGCTGACGTCTATTGAAGTAGAGTGTTACCTCAATAAGTTCATTGAACATCTTGAACGTTATGGACAGCCTAGATATCTTTTAAAAGGACAACAGCTATCAGTTTTATTTGAAGAGTTACATCTTACAGACGAAGTAAAGGCAAAGGCCGAAGATTTAACTAAAGATAAAAATGGTAATATCAAATTCAGGTCAAGGTTTACTTCAAGTAAACAATATTCATTTATTTATTTTAGGTATTTACTTATACAACGTTCTTAGCGTGCTGGTTTATGCTATGCTTGGTTTGAACCTACTGGCCACAGATTCGAATCAAATTGTCAATTTGAAAGTAATTTTATCTCGATCAGTTATAACTATTTCTGGTGACCTGTAACCTCCCCGTTCCCACTATGCCCCGAACCAACTGTACTGGCTTCATTGCGTATAGATTTAGCTGGTCAGTTAGATATTGTACCATAATATAACATAGTGTTGAAAACAATGTGAATAATTGCATAAAATGTATAATCTACTCTCAACATACTGCTCTGGCTACTAATTGTGTTTAAATAAAATATCGAAATAACCGAAAACTAGATGACAAAAAATAAATTTTCACCATTGTAAATGTCTTGTATATGAACTATCACCTTAACAGCAAATGTACATCGTTTGTACAATCAAACGACAAAGGTTTATAAAATTGTGTCACTCACAATATTTATCGTAAGTCAATAAAACCATAAAAGACACGACAAATGTACTTATTTTACTGTTAATCCGTTATTTTGACTTCAGCGCCAACAGTCGTTCTATTCCACACGTACTTCATTGAATTTCAACCAACTTAAAAATTATTATGCATTTTAAGACTGCTGTTATTCTCTGTGCCGTGTATTTCATTGTATCAGTATGGGTAAGATACTTATTTCTTTAAATTGAATATAGTTATATATTATATACTTATGCAAGGTGACATAATACAGCTTTGTATAATAAGTACTTAAGCGTTAAAACTTTATGACCTTACAGGCAACATATATATATACATTTTGGATAAAATATTTAATTTAACAAAAATTTTCAAAAAATCTTGACTGATCGATAACCGGTCTTAAACAATTACTATTTAAGTGTTTAAAATTTAGGACGGTACGAAGGATGGATTGGATTGTTAGTTTTATCTGTGAGAGTTATTCAATCAGAGCAAAATAATCTTATTTTAATAAGTTAATTAAATGTATACGTTCCCGTTTAAGTGACAAAAGTTGTTCCGCTTTGGATAATATAATAAAAGCTAAATTTTTTATTGTTTCATATTATTGTAAATATAAAAATGTTTTAAAAATATACCCGGATGGCCCATAAAGATTTGACAAATGAAATAACTTTTGTTCTAGAGACTATTTTTGAGATTTTTTTTTTTATAATTTTTACTCATTTGCGCTATAAGCACCGTGGTCTTAAATGCACTTGCAAAATTTGTATTTTTATTCATCCATTATATTCATTTGAAAGTGAGGATGACTGGTGACGGGAGATGGAGTGCGGTAGGTAGATAAAAATTAATCTACGTGGTTTACTCTACTGCACTCCCCCTCTCATCACCAGTCATCCTCACTTTCAAATGAATATAACATTTGAAGGGATCAATAAAAATACAAATTTTTTCACCAATTCTTTTTAAAAAAATATTTTAAATAAAATGGCTATGTTGAAAAAAAATAAAAAAAACTATTAAATAAAGTAAAACAGGTAAGTGCAATAAAAACCACGGTGCTTATAGCGCACATTAATATAAATTATTTTAAAAATAAAAATCTCAAAAATATTCACTAGAACAAAAGTTATTTCATTTGTCAAATCTTTGTGGGCCAATCTGTATAATATATAGATTATTGTAATATAATATTTCCCAGAAAATGAGTGACTTACGGTATAGGGATCATTCGGTACTCAGTTTTGAGCTGTAAGTCATTACACCTTATTTCAGAGCACGGGACTAAATATGGACCAAATACAAAAATGTATTGATATGTATGATTATCCCAATCCTGACACTCGGAGAATCCCAAAAGTTATGAAAGACGATTTTGGAGTTAAAACACCAGAAAGATATTATAAACGCCACCCAAGTAACATATTATTTAAATAGCAATTTATTAGTTACATCTATTGACAATTAACGTTGTGTTATTGCTTTAATATACCAATAGATAATATTCATAATTTGTATTAGTTTTACTTAACCAATCAAGTTCTTATTACTAACATTATATTAAATTGTAATGTACTTTGTAAGTTAGAAATTAAACATATTTAGTACTCAATTAAGTAACTACTGAATCGGTCTAAATAACTACATTTGTGAAGTATAAATCATTGAATTGAATGTATATAACTTAAACTTGTCTAGCTTTGTTGAATCCTGTTATGTATAATTTTCAAAACTGATTGCATACTATTTATTTTATATAGAATACGATTATTTAACTTTTAAGAGCGCATTTTTGGCGTTAGCGTATGAAGATAAAACATCAGACAGCATCGGGGTATTTGATTTAAAATAACTAGTTTTTATTACTAATTTAACCTAAAACATATGAAATATTAACAAATATCAAAATATTGTAAGAAAATGATTGCAAAATATTCGTGTATGTTTAACATTGTACTTAGGTTCCAATGCTGACGACTTTTGAAGTAGAGTATTACCTCAATAAGTTCATTAAACACCTTGAACGTTATGGGCAATTTAGATACCTTATAAATGAACAACTATCACCTTTATTTGGAGAATTACACCTTACAGAAGATGAAAAGGCAAAGGTTGAAAGTTCATCGTGAAAAAGAAAAGGTTACGTTAGATTTAGGGTGAGGAAGCGGTTTACTTCAAGTTCACAGTCTTAATTTTATTTGTTTAGGTATAATTCACTCAGCGGCATTCTTGTCAATCATGTTAGAAATTCTACCAGAAGTAAGTAAATATTTGTGCAAGAAAAAATAGCTTATCTTGAGGCATTAAATATTAATTGTATATAAATTGGTTTACCCAAATAGGACTTTTAAATTGAGGATTTTGAAAAAAAAAAACAAGATTCTACTATTTGTAATTTTTCAAAATTGGCCATATAATTTTTGTTGATAAAAAAATGTTTCAAAAGCAAAGTTTAAAGATTTATTACAAATCAATGGTTATGAAATCGTTATAAATTATAAAAATGCTTAAAATGTAAAAATACTTCGACATTTGTGTACAGTTAGCTTATATTTATCATTTTTGGTTTTATTATAGGGTAATGGTCTAAATGAAGCACAAATAGAAGGGTTCATTGAATTGTTTGCATATCAAGATCTATTTCTTGATACCCGTTTCATTAATCGTTTAAAAATTAACAACATCTTGAACACATTTCAAATTATGGCTATTCAGCCGCTTGAAGAGTCTAACCGTAAGACAAAAAAATAAATATTTTCACGTATCTAAATAGGTACATTCTAATTTTTATATTTAATATATTATTGAAACTTGAACAGGACACTTTGGTAAAGTGTTGATGGAATTGATGATCGTTACGGCAGAACGTTCTAGAACAGTTAACGAAATCGTAATATAGTTTATTTTTGTTTCAATTTAAAATTCCATTGCGGTTACTTACCTATTAATTCATTTTTCGTTACGATGTACTTGATTTTACTTTGACGATTTTTCAGAATGAGATAGTGTTAAGTACAAAAAAGGTCAGATCACTGTTATCTGAATACACAGAACGTGACCGGAACCAAGACAGTAAACTCTCCAATAGCGAAGCGAACCAGTTTATGAATGAATTTACCGCTGAAAATCCGCAAGTTCTACCATTTAATTTTAATTGTAATTTGACAAGTTTATACATTAACGAGTTAACTCTGATTCTTGGCGTAAAAATTTGCTATTTTGCTTTTCAGATAATGAAATAAACGCTGCGAAATTCTTATTCTTCCACATACGTGCAAAAAAAGTTAAAAATAATATTTGAAATATTAAAATTTTGTTAATTAATTATAATATTTAAAATATTAAAAATTTATTTATTAATTATAACATTTAAACTATTGCACTTTAATGTCTTTAATACTCAAAAATATTTTTGTTTTTTTTTTTATCTCGGGATATGTTATATAAATAATAGTTAATATATTTATTAATCGATTCAGTATATATATTGTTTTTAAGTAAATAAATAACCTATTATAATTCGTATAACACTATTTTTTCCGTAGTCAAAATTGTAAAAAAAAAATGCAAAATTAGTTTTTTCATATAATGTCAAAATTACATTTTAAAATTAATATTACTGGAGCTATTTAGCTATTTTAATATTTGAAAAAATATTGTTTAAGGAAATTCTTAAAAAGAACACTTAACTTACAATTGTTCAGTGAAAGTTACATTTCGATATCTTAATTAGTCATTGTGTAACGCGGTCGTATTTTAGGTGTTTTTACGACAAATTTATAAGATATAGCCTAAGTCCAAACAATTTTTTAAAAAAGTGTTTTCTGTATTTTTTTCGTTTTTATGGAATTATTTGTAAAGAATATATAGGTTTTATGTATTCCGACTACTATAAAAATAATACCTGGTACTTAAACATATTATTTTATTTTCTGCATTGTAATTAAATGATATATATATATATATATATATGTATGTATAAAGTGTTATCCAATACAGTGATTGTACAGCGAATGGCATCTGTATTATAAAATACTAGCAGAAAATCCGTTAATATTTAAATACTTTTTTCGGTTTTGATAAACGGATAATAGTTTGCCGATAACCACGGTGTGTGCTTTTTTAGGCTATGACATTGTATAAAAATACTGTGTGCTAATATGGGCTACATAATTTCAGGTAATAAAAATAAAACTCTGCTCCTATTATGACTGCACTGTATAGAATATGTTTTAATCTTTCATTGGAATATTCCATGGTACTATAGGTATGTGTAGAAACCATCATTTTAAAATGGCAGCGTTGAACCTCAAGGACCCGATAAGTTGATGTACATCTTAGATGTTTAAGTTACAAGTATACATCTAATGTAGTGTTTGAGTATCGTCTAAATTATTCAAATTTTAACTAAGTATTTACAAAACCAATGTTTGGCTATCTAACAAAATAGCGACGAGTGGAGATAAACTATAAGTTAATAGATACTTGTGTTAACAACTTGTATCGTATTGTACCCATAACATTAGATTTTAGGTAAAATTACTAAATAAATAAAGACACTTAAAATTTTTTATTCTTGTCGTTTTCCAAATATTTTAATATTATGTAAATAAGAAAAATGTTATTTTAATCCTATCGGTAATGATGTTATACAACCTTCAGTAAAAAATAATCTTAGTTGTTAGTTGAAATACACCCTTACTTAAATGTATGTGTAATTGAGTTTCATTTATTTATTCAACATTTATCTGTAGCCTAGAGGCTAGCCCTACCTATGACCATGGAGTAACTGAGTATGCAGCCATCAATGGGACAGTACTTTTTGAAATGTTTTTTTTCCATTTGATATCAATTATATAATTTCAAAAAAAAAATTGTTCTTAAGTAAGTTGTATTACATAAAAAATCGAAACAAATATATTTGTATAATGCTTATAATTACTTATTTCATACATATGATACAAATAATTTCCTAAGAATATTGTCCTCCCCTTTCATCACCTCCTCACTCTTCTGTCTCTGCTTCTGCTCCTGTCCCTGTCAAGCCCATATCTTGGAGCTACAAATTGTTCTTTGACAGTTTCAACTTGCTCGCCAGAATAGTTAATCTCTGTTTGGCGACACTTGCAAATGCATGGTTTTTCGCTTGACACTTGCTGAATGATCAAAAAGATCACAACAGGTACTACAAAAATCTATAAAAGATATATAAAAAATTGAATAAACTAAAATATTAATTATATATATTTAAATATAAACCGTATATTTTACAACAAATATTCACATTAACGCGAATACGTTTTTTGACGACTGCATTTTCAGTCATAAATAAAACTAAATGTATATAATAATATAAATATTAATATGTATTTTGACATAATTGGAAACATTACGTACCCCTATTTTATGTTTTAATTTTTTTTTAACTTTTCATGAATAAGTTCATAATAGTTAAAAATGATAAATATTTTTTAATACATTATATGACATTTATATACTTTTAGTTAAAATAAACGCACATTACTCCATATATTATATACAGGATTAGTCTTTAACATTTCGGTATAATAAAAATATTTACTTGACAATACAACTAAGCAATTTATTTGTACAATAAATATTGTAGGCTAATATATTTTTCTATATGGACATACTGAATTCAAGATAGATTAGATAATTTCGTAGATCAATATTAATAAAATATTTTTTAAACGTTTGTGTTAACAAAAATAAAAAGATTATTATGATTTATAATTTATATTATAAAAAAAAAAATTAAATATAAGTAAATTTTTATTTTTATTTGAACAATGCTCCAAATTTATAAACAACAACAATATTTTGTATATACCTAATTTTTAACTGAAATTATTTTTTATTTAAACAATAAAATAAAAATTAATTTAAATTAAAACATTTTTTTTTAATTTATGATTATATACTAAAATCCAACAAGACAGAGAATTTATAAATTATTTATGTATCTAATTAACATTTTTAAATGTTGGTTATTATAAGTTATAATTTTTAAATGGATTGGTAATAATTAATTTTACTTTAAAAATTGTACATATTATCTAATGGTTACCTAAAATGGTTTTTACAAATTGAGATCACATTATATAAAAACCCAAAATTAATATCTTATTAAACCCTATGAAATAATAAGTGGTTCGCGATAAAATTATTACACTATATCCAATTTTAACAGGCAAATCAACATCATAAAAATATTTTTTCCGTTTTCATTAGGTGTCCAAAGAAAACTAATATTACATCTTGGCATATTATTTTTTTTCCTAAATAATTAGAAATATTCTTTTTGATAATACTTTATCTAGAACTTAGAAGTCCAATTAAATTGAAAATTAAAAAAATGTAATTGAAAAAAATCTTTTAAATCGCTTTCATGTAAAAATTAAAAACATAATTTTTTTATAAATGATTTCCATAGATTTTTTAGAACTGAAAATTACGTTTACATAAAACAAAAATATACTTACTGATTTAAAAAATGCCATTGAGATTGGTAATTTAATATTAGTTATTAGTATTATAATAAAAACATCTTGATGCAGGAATAACAACAGACTGTTGTTTTTGTATTGGCCGGAACAGCTACTATAAAAGTATAACAGTTATCTAGTCCCGCGTTGCTGTAATGTCTTGTAAATATTGTTTAAACACTCTCTTTCTTTGTAGCACCCTCCTCTCCTTTTTCTAATGATTAAAACAAGATATTATTATTTAGGCTATTGTTCATATACTCTCGTTTACTTCATTATTACTGCGATACTATTATGAATAACTGTTATATGATGAGTATACAACGATGATAAACGCTATCGCCGTTGACCGATAAATTAACTGTCTTAGACTTATTAGGTAGAAAACATAATAGTGCAACGATAATAATTAAATTCATTATTACAAAAACAACAAATACCATTAACGATGTACATAGTTAAGGACATCTCGGTTTTCATTGGGTCAAATATACAAATACTTATTGTTTGATAAGGCGAAACGACTGTCGACTTCTGAGCTAAAATAAT